GCCTAGAGTGCCCTCTAGTGGCTGTTAGTGTGAAAAAAAACAAACATGTGAAATTATATATTTTAATATATAAGTCATACTTGAGTATAAGTCGCAAACCCAGCCAAAGGATGAGAAGCATTGATTGTTAAAAGATCACCAAGTATCGGTAATTTTTTTTTAAAAATTGCTGGATTATCTGTAAATGATTAAAATGATTAGAAATGACCTGATTCTCTTTAAATAAACAACACTATTATTTCTTTCACTGCAGTCCGGTACCGAATGTCCCACGGACCAGAACCGGCCCGCAGACCAGGGATTGGGGATCCTGGTCTATTACACAAATACAGCACATAAAACATTCTGCACAGACTTCCATAAAAGTACAGGGGGAAAAAGAAAATTGCAAAATCCCTCACACATTGCACTTAAAAAAAAAAAGTACTTTTCAAAAGCTGTGAGGTTCACATTGGGGTACTGTTTGCTGTTTTTTTAGTTATTCACAGTTTTCCGCAGTTATCATCAGTGTTTTTATCTTTTTTTCAAGGGATTTTTGCCCCTTTTGAGCAGCGAACCTCTTCAAAAAAAAAAAAAAAAAAAAAAAAAAAAAACGACGCCATTAAGGGAATATTCTGGAGAACTCACAGTAACCCAACTGAAACTTGCACAACTTTTGTCAGTCTGATCTAAAATATTCAGTTCTTGTGCGGCTGACGGGAAAATGAACAAGCGTTAACAGAAAGAGTGACAGCCAAAGCCACAGAGAAATCGATGGAAGCGCTTGTTTTCTGTGCACTGATAGGCAAATTACAAAGGCAAATTAAAAGTCTCTGGATGAGTCACTGATGCATGGATGCATGAGGTCGGCGTCTGGGGAGCAAGTGCTAACCTTTCTTACTCGCACTCCCTCAGGTTTGGTTTTGTCCTGATGGCTGTGCTGCTTTTTCCGCCAAAGGAAAGACATCATTAGTGAGTGTTATTGGGTGGAATGGACGTCAAACATTCTATTGGAACTCAAATCTGTCGATAGGTCGTGCCGTGAACTGTATTTCATCAGGTAAGACAAGACAAAACAAACCACTTTCGGATGGTTTCGAAGAGTAACGGCAACTTTTTTTTTTTGACAGCCGTGAAAACCGTGCTTTACTCCGACCATGCATCAGGCGAACGCACCTGGCTCTTTTTCTCCCTTTCCCCGTTGGTTGCGGACACAGAGGGGGACTGTCTTCGCTCTCTTCTCGCCACTGTCTGATAGCACAGACAAAACTCTTGTATCACAATCACATCCAACCACGAGCAAGGAAACAACACCAGAGATGTCCGACCATATCGGCCGACCAAAATTATCGGCCCGATATTAGCATCATTTTGTAATATCTAATAATATATAATTCCAGGACAGAAGGTACTGTATGTGATGGGACCTAAAAATAGTTTGGGGAGAAAAAAAAACAGCTGCATATATTGGTATCGGTTTATATCAGAATCGGATATTAAGACATTTGGACAGTATCGGCATATCGGATATTGGCAAAAAGCTAATATCGGACATCCCTAAGAAAAGCCATCTGTTTTCATGACCTTGAAAAGTTTGTGAATTTTCCGCTTCATTTTTTGATCTGATGTCACTTCCTGTGACAGGTGGGGTACGAGGTACAGTAGGAAGCTATAGATGGATAGATAAATAGATAGATAGGTAGGTAGGTAGGTAGGTAGATAGATAGATAGATAGATAGATAG